TGGGTCCTGAAATTTGTCTCTGCTAGGATTGCCCCAGCTAAAAATGCTCCAAGCTGCATTGCGACATTACATACAATTGTCACACAGGTATTCAATTTAAGGATTTTCCATAATTCCATATGCAACCCAAAAATGAAACACTGTGCATCGAAAAATATTGAACCGTATCACTGAAGCCCAATTTCTGTGTGAGTAGTGAAGTCCCAGCAATAGTCAGCAAGCAAAGAGCAACAAAAGCCTCTGAACTTCTAGTATCTGCAACAACCTGAATTTCACCAACACTTTATTAACTAGAACATATCAAAAATGAGTTTGGATCTGGAAGCAATTTATTTTTTGGATAAATTCCTTTGTGAAATATATTCCATCAAACCTCAAAAACTCTTCTGAGGATATACTTTGCTCCAAATGAAAGCAGACCCAATCCACCTAATGCCTTCAAACTTTCTTGAGCAAGCATGGGCCAAATACTTTCCTCAGTCATAGTCTAGAATGAGAAATAAAAAACAACCAACTTAGTTAATCATTGGAAATATAATACTTGCAAGTGTTGTACACCCGAAACCAGCACATATACCAAATGACAGGCCCATATACTCATATTCTTAATACAGTAAATATCATCACCAAACAAGAAAATATATGTTTCTGCATGCATGTCAAAGCACAATAAAGAGACCTGGTATACCTAAAACTGTTAATCTCCCAGTCTATAAAGAAGCAACCAAAACGGATGTAAAAAATAGAAAGTATGAAATACATGTTAACATTATTTGCAGTTTACAGCTCACCTGGCTCTCAAGTACTGGAAGTATAACCAAAAGAGGGACAACGGCTATGTCCTGGAGATAACAAGCAGTAGAAAAAGAACAGAGTTAATTAAACCAGAGCTTTTGTTTACTGACACCATACTCATCAATCTAGTGGAGTATATCATAATATATCAACATGTAACCTAAAAATATCATTGATTTGAACAATGTTTTTGTGGAAAAAAAACTACATACTTGTAGATGAAGAGGATGTAACCATTCAAGAGTACAAGACAAAAACCTGCAAAAGGAGTATCCCAAGAGTTGCTGAACCAAGCCTTGTAGGAAGCTCGCCTTTCTCTGCAAGAAGCTACAAATGTATACACGCTTGATAAGTTACAGTGTCCATGTTAACTGTCACATATCACAATGGTTCTTCCACACAGAATGCCAAAAAGAAATATTATGAAACACACTTGTAACCGTATTCCCACTGTAATTTCTTTCAGTTAACACATTACAAAGAAATAGCATATGAAAGAACAGGGCTAGAAAAACAAGTTTACAAATGTAGAATTACTATACACACATCACAAGGTACTACAAACACTTCAGTCATCGTGTCTTTCGTGCTAACAAAGTGCAAAAAAATGTACTACATACATCAACGTCGCGTCTTTTTTACTAACAAAGTGCAGGAAATGTCTTGCTTATTTTCAATTTTAAATATATTTAAAATCACAAATACCTGTAGAACAAATGCAGAAGATGACAGAGAGAGAGCAGCCCCAATCACTACAGCTTCGTCAACACTTCTGATGTTCACCTATAAATATGATCTCAAAATAAATTAAAAGATTAAAGCAAGAATCCTCTTCTAGTTGTATTGATACCACACATTTGCAACCCAGGCTATAATTAATTATCTGTCTTATCAAACAGTCATCTTGAAAGAGCTGTTGGGTGACTCATTTAAGTAATGCATTGGGCTCTATCAAACACCACTTTGGACTGTGGTTTTAATTGTTAACTTACGCAGAAAGGACGATGTAGCATTTGTCAACTAGAACCTTGTAAAATGTCAACGAAGTGTGAACTACTTAGCCTATAAAGACTCAAGTTTTAGAAAAGGGTGTTCGAATAGTTTTTATGAATCAAACATAATTTAGAAGCTTCATTATTAAAAAATTCAAGGCCTTTAAGCATATTTGAAGCTTAAATGGATCATCAATATAAATAATGCTATAATAGCTCTAGTTCCACCATTTTGAAAATTCATGTACACAAGAATCCATCACTCCTATAGACAGAATTAGACTCTATCATCACAGAATGCACTTCCCTGCCAAAGAGAGTAAGAAAATGTTCTGGAATCTTATCTAAGAGACAGGTGTCAATGGGTACTTACTATGAAAATCAACAATTGAAATATATCACATTCCCCTAAACTTCTTTACACATAAAATAAAAAACATTCTTATTTGAAGTGTCTGTATCTGCATGTGCATGTTCTGTTATTTCTGTATGTCTCTCGCCAGAATGACTAGTTTACAACAATGAAAAAATACATACAAGAAACAAACAAAAAATGTTAGATATAGATCTTACCAGATCAGACCTTGAGTGGAAAAGGAATTCCAAAATTTTAGTTCCAACAGCCCCATTTGGTGGAAGCTCAAAAGCAGTGAATGCTAAAGTAGATAGTAAAACCTTCAAAAATGTTGGAATGGCTATTAAAATAAGAAATAAGGACAATAAAGATCAAAATGTAATTTCATAAATGCTAAATAAGAAACTAGTATTTTCCCTTAGAAGTTGTAGAGCAATTATGAAGATTGAATGACTAAGTGTAATAAATTAATAGCAAACATCATAGTCACTTCCAAAACATCATACCTGAGTCAATCCCATTCCAAAGGCATATTTTGCAAGAGCTTTCAAACGTGCTAGTGAAAGTTCTAAACCCATCTCAAACAGCTGAAAAGAAATAAACATTACTTCAGAATAACTATATGCCATTTTTTCAGAATTATTCCTCAAGATTATCACCATGACAAGAATATAGGTATTTCATACAGGAAGCTCTTCAAAAAACCTCTTATCATATACCAATGCGAGTGTTCGCTACCTTGTCTCAGAAGGTATGTGAACTTAACAGCAAAAGTGCTACACTTCTATGTTCCAAATTTAGGTTCAAGCAATATTAGTGTTGAAATTTTATAAAGTAAAATGGGCCAATGGCTGAAATTTTAGACCAATGTAGGAAATAAAAGCAAACAATACAGATGAAAATCGAGCTTACACGCACATATGAAAAATATATAACAGCAACAACAAGAGTAACAGCAGTGGCACCTTACTGAGATTTAACTTACCAAGAAAAGGATCCCCCATTCAGACAAAACTTTAACATCTTCAAGGTTCCTAATTAAACCAAACTGATTAAGCACCACACCAGCAAGGAAGAAACCAAGTATCTGAAAACAACAACAATCAAATTCATTTCAATCACACATACATGAAGCAATAAACTGTGAATTCTTTATACATCATATTATCACAATTCACAAAGTCTTACAGGACTGGCTTTAATAAACTTGAACGAGGGGACGATAAAGACCGTAACACCCAAGAAAGTAAGAGTATCCAATCCTAAATCATTAACAACTTCAACAGCACCAGCAACATCATATGCAGTAGCATTAGTCTGTAACCGCTCCCTCCTCAATGGCCTATATTTAGCGAGATAGGATAATTTCCAACCGGAAAATGAAGGAACATCCAGAGACGTTCTTCTAGTGAATTTCTCTGATACAGCAGTACTATGACATAGAAACGGAACTTGCTTAGAACTTTTACAAATTCGCGAAGCGGCGCGAGAATAACCGGGACTCTTTTGATTGTTCAAGTCATATCCCTGCATAGGAAATTCATAACAACAAAATCTCCAAATTTGAATAAGCACAATATTGAGCAGCAACATACTCCAATTTTGTTAGGATTGAAGTTACCTTGAGGGTTTGGGAACAAGATAGTAAAGACTCCAACATAGTGGCAGTGGTTAATTAGAAAGTAACAAAACCAAATTTGGAGAAGTTCATTTGCATTTAAGTTCCAAACAAGTTAAGAGAATAAAATTCAAATACTTAAAAATGTGACTGGAAGGAATGCCTTAGAAAATGGAGGAGGAGAAAGATACACGTAGAGTTGGGAACAAGAGAGGTGAAAGATAGAAGAAAACGAAAGGATTTGGATATGGTGTGAGAATCTTGCGTGAATGAAATATATGAATAATTGTGTGTGTATCAATCGTTTGGCCACCTCAGCAATTCAATTATATTGTCATCATGTGGAACTTGTGGATCACAAATATTTCTCTGATTTTTCCCAGTCACAAACTCAGATACATGCTTTACCATGTGGCAATTGCTTTTATTTTTTATTTTTTTTATTCAGGAATAGAAAGTAAATACATAATTCTTCTTTTATAAAAAAAATAGAAATATGATCTATTATTTTTTTGGTACAAAAACCATGATGAAATAAGATTAAAGGTATTTCACTGTTAATGTAAACTAATTTTACATCATTATCCAATAAAATTATAATATTCAACCATATCAATTAAAAATGTGATTTGATATTCAACCATATCAATTAAAAATGTGATTTGATATTCAACCATATCAATTAAAAGTGTGATTTGATATAGGATACACGTCTGTAATTGGTTGACAAAGTAAATATATTCTCATTAGTTTTTTAATTTGATTCTTTTGTTTTTCTAAAAAAAGAATCTTGAGAATTATCAATATTTAAAAATCAAATAAAATTTTTTTTTAGAAACTATATCCCCGGCAGTCGGATATTCTTGTCCAGCTGCTAATTGAGCATTGAGCAAGTTTAACTAGAAAGAGATAGTGTGTGCTTATGGTACTTATAACATGGAGTAGTTTTTTATTTAAAAAACTTGCAAGGTTCAAACAAACCTAATTACATTCTATAGCATCAAAAAAACATGTTCATACCAAATGACAGACTCAGAAAACAATACAAGCACCAGTGAACAATCTGAAATACAACCCAAGAGAGAGCAAGGATGTAAAGGAACAGCTGGTTTAACATCATTTATGCTTACATAATTTAGGTACCCATCAATCTATAAGCCTCAGTCTCAATTTCAGTACTTATATATTTATTTATGAACCCTGGGCATCACATCCATCCAGTGGATTACATTGCACAAAACTAAGAATTGACTGGTGCAAATTTCAGTGAAATGCTATTGACACAATGCCGTTCGTTAGTGGGTGTTGGAAATCCTTCACCTTTAAATACATGACCAAGATGTCCCCCACATGCAGCGCATGTTATTTCGATCCTCCTTCCATCGGGGTCAGGCTGAAGGTAGAGAAACACATTAATTTTATCAGATTTAAATAGATTTCAATTGACGGTGCAATTCAAGTAATATGCAAACATAGTAAAGAAAAGACAGCATGATAAGAACAAATAAACTCACATGGCGATTTATGGCTCCAGGAAGACCCTCAAAGAAGGCTGGCCAGCCACAACCGGAATTGAATTTTGTCGTAGACTTGTAGAGTGGAGTTTCACAACCTGCACAACTGTAGACTCCCTCCTCAAAGAACTTGTCATATTCTCCTGATCCGGCATACCTTGATAATAATACCAAAACATTTTTTTGTTAACAGAAAAGCAATTCACCATTTAGAGTATTACTATCTATATCATCATTGGTTGTTCATTCAAAATGACAAAAAAAAAAAAGGTATTGGTGGAACTATCATTTATTTAATGAGAAATTCTAGAATCTCTATATCACACAAAACTCCTTTCTGATTTAAAGTTACTACAATTCCACCACCTGCATAGTATTCCTCTCCATACTTATCAGAATTTAAAGAGGTAAGTAGAGATTTTGATATGTGGAAAATTCAGCCAAAGCCGTATATTGGGCGCATAACTAGGGGAAACACATCGAATATAAGAAGCTTTTCTTCTCTCTGCTGTGATCACCTAACTTATATGATACTGAGCACATTTATGAGTACATTTTTTATTACAGAACACTTATGAGTACCTATTTACATTGTATTGTAGCCTTTCTTACTGCAATCTTCCACTAAACTTAACCAGATACTCTTCATGAATTTCTTAGAAAATTAAGTCAAAGTTTATAAAAAAGATAAGAGATTTCCTACATAGAACATGATGCAAGCTCTAATGTCACTAAACCATAATAAAAATCACCATTTGTCATGATTAATTTGGAACTATAGCATGGTTTTAAATTGTGGTCTGCAACTGCAATTGCGGTGGGCTCTGCAACCGCATCGACCGCAGTTGCAGTGTGATTTAAAATCACGCCTGAGATGGTAATAGGAACCGCATCATACAATTTTGCTAGTGTTTGTTCAGTAATTTTTATTAAAAATCAAAATTTCAGAACCCCAAAACTCAATTTTCTTCTTATCTAATGAAAAATCTTAACTTTAAGCTCTGAACAATGTATTTCAAGCATATAGTTTTCAGATAAGCTACAAGCTATTTTCTTAAGCTATTCTAAAGAGCCTATGTAAATAAGCTGTAAAAGCAACTTAAGGACATGCCATAAGCTGTTTCAACCTAAGAACAAAACACTCCAGTTATGAAGCCCGATCTGGCTTAACATGTAGTCCAAAATTAACTTGAAAATTTTCAAAAATACAAGCTACGATGATGATGATTTAATTTTCAATTTTTCAATCAATCAAGCTATGTTGTATTGTATGACAGAAAGAAAGTAAGAAAGTAAATATTGAATTATTAATTGATTGGGAAATTGAGATGTAAGATTACGTACTCAGTGCCTTTCTGCCTCAGAATTCGAAACTGCTCTGGAGAGAGAATAGCTTGCCATTCTTCCTCCGATTTGTTTGCAGATCCATGTCCAGGTGCAGCCATGGCGACAATTCCAGCGCGGAAACCACGCTTGGGTTGACGAATGGAAACGTTGGGAGGAGTAAAAGCGAATTGGGTGTTGAAGAGAAGTGAGAGAGGGTTTGAGGAAATGGGTTTGGTAGTGTTGAAACAACAAAGAGATGTGGTTCTTAGAATATTGAGCCTCGTCACCGTCATCTTGTTCGTGCGTGTGTTTATCACTCGCGCAAGCAAAGTGAGGTCTTTGTTTGGATAAATAAATGTTTTTTCCAACAAATACTCTATTAAATTACCAAACTCTCATTAAATTGTATGCCTCACTTGCATCAATTTTTAATGTCTCTTTTCCAAGGTCTCATTTCAATATTTTTAGTATATTAAAAATTTTGGATTACTCTTCTCTCCGCTCTCCGCTCTCCGCTGACAAATCTATCATATAAGAAAATTTACGCATGCTCTTTCCACAATAAGTCATATAGATAGCATCATCTTTCATCTTTCGTATTTTCTGCTATTTCTATTTTTTTATTTATTTGGATTCCAACCCTTCTTCTTCCTTCACCTTTCTCATTATTGAATATTTAATATGTATGTTACAATATGCAGTTACCAATTACAGTTCCCACAAACCTTTGTATTCCATATTCTGCGACTATAGTAGTTGACGTTCTTCTTCATCTTCTTTCTTTCGCATAGCCTTAACAATGAAGAAACTCTCTTTCTCCTTCACTTCTTCTAAATCTTCATTTGAGTCTAACAATTTCGTCAAACTCTCCCAAACCTTCGACGAAGACTTTTCCACCAAACAAGATCTTAAAAAACAGTTAATCACCGAATTCGACTCTTCCAAACTCCAAACCCTAGACCCTAACCCCAAAACCCTAATTCCCCCAATCAAAAATCAATGGTGTGCGCACCAAAAAATGAAGAATCTCGACCTTCTCATCATCGATTCACACTATTTTCATTCCTTCACTTTCGAATCGAACATCTCTTCAATCTCCGATCAGCCTGATTCCGACAAGTAATCTTACGGTCTCAACCTCTGTTCTGGGAATTCCAAGAACAAGAAACAGCTAGGTGACAGTGATGCTCTGAGGCCCAGAGTTTCAATTGAGGTTAAGAGAGAGAGAAATCAGTATTACTGGAAAGAAACTCGAGGATGGATCGACTCGTGAAGTCTCGGGCATCACTGCGTCACAGGTTAGTAAATTGTTGCATCACTAGATTGGATCTTAAAAAATATGGCAATACTTGAGATAGTGTCATATTAATTCGGGTGAACTATCTGACTAGTCTTTTTGTTCTTGGCCGGTTTCTTCTTTGCTGAGCAGGTGCAGGTTTATGAATCATGACAGCCCCCACCATTAAACAGCGTTCAGTCCTATCTTGATTTCTCTGAGGATATACAGCAACAACTTCTTTTTTTCCAATAAATGGTTTTCTTACAGCAGCATAGGACGCTTCCTTTTGAATCTCCCCATTCTTTATCCCGGCCTCCACTCTTTCTCCGGTCAATATCAATTCAGTAAAACCTGTCGAGGAACTCCCAATTAAGTGATTAAAGAAAGGACCGTACATGGTACCAAAAAACATGTCTACTAACTCTCTTTCAGATAGGGGAGGTTGGACTCTTCCTGCTAAGTCCCTCCATTTTTTAGCATAGTCTTTGAAGCCTTCACTTGAAACCATGGCCATACTCTGGAGTTGAGTATGGGTGGGAGCAAGGTCTGTGTTGTATTGATATTATTTGTAAAAGGCAGCGGCAAGATCTTACCAATTATGAACATTGGCTCTTTCTAGATGATAAAACCAATCAAGTTGAGTTCCGGACAAACTGTCTTGAAAGAAGTGTACTCGTAAATCCCTGTCAGTAGTATGAGGCTGTATTTTCCTCACATAGGATCGGAGATACATTTTGGGACACGAAACTCCATCGTATTTGGAGAACACCGGTGTCTTGAATTTTAGAGGAATAACAATCCCAGATACTAAACTCAATTCCTCAAAGTCCAGTCCAGGAACTTTTTGAATTTCCATTGCACTTAACCGCTCTTCCGGATGCTTATACTTGTCGTCGGCCGGAGGGTATTGTTCTTCAGAATAATCTTCTTCTTCCTCTTCCTCTTCTGAATCTGGCTGGGAAACTGCTTCCTTGTCTTTCCCATCTTGATTATCTTTCTCACCAGATGACGTTGCATAGTCTAAGGTTCGTCTAGCTTGTCCGTGAAACCTTCTTCCCATATTCAGAACTCCGGTTATTTTCTTTGTTTTCTTCTTTTTCTCTTCAACCAGCAAGGTCTTCAACTTTTCTTGTCCTTTGGCTAGAGTTAAGAACATTTGTTGAAACTGAGCATTATGTGCTTAGAGGTCTTTCACCGTCTGCTCGAGATCCATCTTACTGAAATAAACAGTAGAAAGATGATGAGACTTGTTGCAAGAAACCTGCTTATGTTATGATGAATGATAGATGCATATGCAATGATTTCAAGGATTTTAAAGATTCAAATTTGTTTTAGACAAAAAAGGAAACACAAGTTATATTAATAAGTTAAAGCTTGAGTACATCAATGCCTCTTTAGGGAAAAAAATACAAAAACTCTAAGATAAAAAGGTTGTACGCATCCTCTTTGGTGCGATGTAGGCATTCAGAGTCTGCTCCTCATGAAGTTGCTTAGTGAGTTCCAAAACCTTCTTCTCGCTGGCGTAGAATTGAGCTTCAAAAGTGTCTTTCTCCCCCTTAAGTTGTATCCAATCCCTTTGTAAGTCTTCAAGAGAGGTGGGCATGTCAGGATGCAGGATAATGTATGGAACATCTCCTTCCACAACAGGCTCTATGATTACTGAGAGAATGGAGGGGGTAAGGCATCATAACACTTTGAGCACGAGCTTGTACTCATTTGAGGTAAGGCTCAAGAGGGATGGAATTTTTATGCCCCAATGTCTTGCTATCTACCTTGTTCAACATCCTCCAAGATCAGATAAACCTCTGGCGATGACCTTGATCGTCGTTCTCGTAGTCAAATACCAAACCTTGAATGAGCATCTCATGTAGGTCATCCCTTCGGGCGTAACCAAACTGTCTTAAGGCTAAACATGGGTTGTAGGTGATACCTCCCCTAATGCCAAGTAAGGGGACATTAGAGAACTCTCTACAATGTTCGACGATGATAACATTCTCTATAGATCGGGAACACCAATTGATGTCTGAATATTTGAGCGTCATCAACCTTTGTGACCACCTTGAACCTTGCTCGTTCTTCAATACAGATTGGGGAAGATGCGAAATAAACCATCTTGTCAAAAGAGTAGTACAACACATAAGGATACCTCTTTTCCTCATAGTGCGAGTGTGAAAGGAATGTAGGATGTCCTCTAGCAAAGTAGGCACCGAGTTACGAGGCATGAAGATTTTGACAGTGTTCACATCTATGAGTTGGTCAGGATTTGGAAACAAAACCATCCCATAGATGAGAAGAGCCACAATTTTCTCAAAATCTTGCAAATCCAAAGAGTTCCAACAGTTTTGGGCTTTCTCAAACAAGAACTTTGCTAGGAAACCCTTGACACCACTCCTTGTTTCCCAATTAGTTGTGATATCAGATGGTTGCAAGTGTAGAGATTGAGCAATATCTTCTGGCTTTGGATCTCTTTCCGTACCGTTGAAAGGTAGTTGGCTGAGAATAGGAATCCTCAAGAGTTGGGAGAATTCTTCCAAAGTTGGCACAAGTTGATAATCGAGAAATGTGAAGCAATAGTGTAAAGGATTAAAGAACTGAAAGAGCACCTTCATCATGTCTCTATCAGTGTTAGCGGTGACCAAGTTTAGTAGGCGACCATGTCTTTCGGTGAATGGAGAATTTTCAGGAATCCTTGATTCCAGCTCTTTAAGTTGAAGAGGGATCCTTACAAGATTGACTTGAATAGTTTTCCTGCGAATAGAATCCATGTCCTACAAAACATAACAAAGATAAATCCCAAGATCCTTGAAATGGTTAGTGAGTATGAGTATGATGTTATGATGTTCATGATGTTATGTAGAAGTAAATATACACAAACAAAGCAAGCAAGTCCTTGGGTTTAGGCTTGCATGGAGTCTTATAGGTAAGTACCCTCTTGAAGTTTAGTTGGCTCAAACTTGTCCTAGTAATAGTAACCGGGTTCTAAGGAGCTCAATATCACTGGTTTGTTTCCTTGGTCATTGTTTCAGCACAAGCCTCTTTAATGGTGACCGAAATATCCCAAAAAACCAAACCTCAATGAGTGTAGTATCGAGTATCTACCAACTTTAGACTACACCAAAGTCGGTCATCTCACTACGTCCTAAAGGCCAAGTTGGTCAAGTAAAGGTTCTAAAAGTTCATTAGTGCTTCATGACATCACTCAACGGCCCTGTATTCTCCTTGACTACTCAAGGGCTACCGGTACCCACAAATATGTCGCACTAACGTAGCTATTACTTAGACCATGTCGGTATACCCCACACAGTTCCCACAATGTATTGCTACTTACCTATAAGGTACCCCAAATTCGGGTAGAGGATTCAAACCCAAACAAAGAAACATAATGTAAAGCATACAATTCAAACAAATAAAGCAAGTAAATGTGATCTAACCCTAAGGTAACCCCACTTTTAGAATTATTCCCCAACAGAGTCGCCCGTTCTGTGATACGGTGGGAGAACTGACTTGAGTGTTTTGCGTTTGATCGCAAATGTTGCGGTTAGCAAGAGTCGCCATCGACTTTTCTTTTATCCAAAATGAAAGGTGAAATAGCACAGGAAAGACCTTTGAGATTGTTTCTTGAGTTCGGGGGGTAAATTATGAAAAAGGAAGGTATTAGCACCCTTTTCATCCATGGTTTTTCATGAGCTCTTAGTTACTTTCTAGATCACTTGCTTTTGTTTGAAATTGTGCTTTGTGTGGTTTTTGAAAGTATTTTGTAAAGATGTCATTGTTTAGGCAAACTTTGTAATGATTCTCGTTCGTAAGAATGTATACAAAGATGTTTGATCTTTTGAAAATGTTTTCAAGTTTAAAATATGTTTTTGAAAGTGTTGGTGTTTGTTTTTGAAAATAGCAAGAATGTTTTGTTTTGAAAGTGAGCAAGTAATTAGGAGCATTCTACCTACTCAAAAGTCTTTCATGTTTATTTCCACTTTCCTTTGACATTGTTATCTTACCATTGATTTGGTAAGTAACCCTATCTTTGGATGTAAACGGGACGGACGTGGGTCATCGTATAACCATGATTAGCAATGTTGTAAGGTATCTTAGCATTCTCTTTTAGGGACTAAGATCATTTGAAAGGTAACATAGATAGCGTCATCGAGGGACTATGATTTTATATTTTGCTTGTTTTTGCTAAGATATCTCACATGCGTAATATGACCATTTTGTAAGGCAACCAAGTGGATTTTACCCTAAGGATGCTTGTGTGAAAGTGTATTATTTTTCATGCTTGGTTTTGTCTTTGATTAGGGTTTTCTAATTGATTGGTTTTAGTCTTTCCATACAAACCCTAATTACTAGCATTTGTATATAAAGCGATAAATTGCGAAATTTAAAATTACTACACTATTACAATGCTTGTGGGAGGGGGGGTGTACAAATTACAAATGGGGATTGCTAGAAAATAAACCTAATTATCTATTACAACCATCTTGAATTTGGATAAATAACGTACAAAAATAAATAAATATACAAGAATATAAAATGGAAAGAAAATTGACTTTTATTTGGATTTTTTAGGAAAAAGGGGGTTTTGTTTTAACCTAATTAACTAAAAGAAAAATAATTAATTAAATTAGTAAAAAGTAAAACCTAAATTTACTAGGAAAAGAATTTAAATAAAACCCTAATCTATTAATTGATTAAAAAAGAAATTAAGTTTATAAGAAGAATATTTTTGGTATTTTTGTCTTAAAAATAATTTATAGTATTATAAAATATTTTTGGTCTTTTTATATTTTAAGATGATATATTTAGATTGTGTAAAAGAAAATAACTAAAAAAATCTAGTTTCTAATTAAATTTACAAATCAATTAGTGAAATAAATAAAGTATGATTAAATAAAATAATTTTTGTGTAAAAAATAAATAAACTATATCAAAATATAAATCTAATATTTTTATATTTTTTCTGATTTTTTTAGTGTTAGATAATATATTTAAGAAAACAAATAAATAAAAATGAGAAAAAAAAAATAAAACGGGTCAGGGTGTGAATAGCCAGCAAGGGGGGTCAGAAGTAAAAAAATAAAGCCCAAGGGAATGAGGCCCAGCGCTGCCAAAAAAAGGTCAGAATACGTGAAAAAAATATGGAAAAAATCCCAAAAGGGTACCACTGGGGCTCGAACCCAGGTCCATATAGTCACAGGCGCGCGCTTCTACCACTGGGGTGGCTATGCATCCGTTTATTAATATCAAACCATAAATATATATGGTAAACACGTTCCTGAAGACAACTTCATCTTCAACCTCACGTCCAGCCTGAACCTCTGTATCTTATTCAATTCTCAACAAAAATGAAAAATGTAAACAGGAAACTTGTGGCAAATTTCCTCACGATTTCAGAAATGCAAAGCAATAAAATTATAGATCAAAGACAAGCATGAATTTTAATGGCCCTAATTTGAACCCTAAAAATTTCAGAAACTTGAATCTTAAAATTCTCTAAGCTCAAGCAATATAAATGAAAACTATGGACATGGTTAGCTTTAGGGAAATGATATCTACATTTTTCATTCACAAATAAACTATTAATGATGCTTGTATGAAAAGTTCAAAGTTGAGATAACTTACCTTGCAAGAGGGTATCGTGTTTTGAGTATGAGTAGCTTTTAGTGAGTTCCAATGATTGTATTAGCTTCCCCAAGTTCCCAGGAAACTAATGTGATGCTTAGCTTGAGCTGAAAGTGCCTGAGGAGTTCTGGAGAAGTCAAGGTGCAAGGTGCTGTTTTTGAAAATGGTGGATGATGATGGAGGTGTTACAGTGGTGTTGGAATTGTTTGTGTATGTTATTTAGAAGCTTTTGAAAGTAAAAGGCTAAGAAACGCACGAGCAAATTTGGAGATTGGATTCAAAACTTAGAAATGGAAAGTTTTGAGGTGTTTTTGGAGATTTCGTGCTCTTGGTGTTTTCAGGGCTTAAACATGCATGGGATTTGTGGCAAATGACTTGTGTATGTATAAGCAAAAAAGCTTGAGTGCTTTTGAGAGTCAGAAGTACAAGTTACAAGCTAATTGCTATATTACTTGATTTTCAAGAAAAGTGGGAAAACAAGTTTCAAGAGGAAGTACAAGCATGGGCTAAGTGATTGTAAGTGTCTAAATAAGCTTCTCTTGAGTTATGGGACTTGTATCATCAGAAGAAAGCAATTGCAAGGCTCAAGAATAAGTTTTGTGCAAAAAGCTACTTTATCAAAATGGCATTGTGCACTTTCTTCCCAAAATGGATATAAAGCATGGTCTTGCATTGAATGCTTGAATTGAGACCTCTAACAGTTGTGCAAGCAATTAATTATGGAGTGCCTAACAAGTTTGAGGCCTGCAAAGTAGAGGTTATGCAGCATAAGTTTGAATTTTGAATCTTGTTCATCACAAAATGACTTGTAATTCAAGTGTGAAAACCCTAACTTCATCTCTTTGATTCTCCTTACTCAAAAATGATCTCAAAGAGTTCTTAGAAATTTTGGAAAACTTGTAATGTGATCTACAACCCCTCTTTGAATCACTTTTGAAAATTCCCCTTGGAACTATATGAAAAAGTGCCATGAAGTTAAGTCAAAATCCTGACCAAATTAGGGCAAAATTTCACTAAGTGTTTTGTTTCATGACCATATGTTCTTAAAATTATAACTTGAGATTCAAGTACTTTTGGAAGGAGTTGTGTAAAGCAACATTGTAGATTTCATGTATATCTACAACTTTTATGTTAAAAGTTTCTTCTAAATCAGCTTGCATCATGGTGAAAATTTTGCTCAAAGTTGTGAAAAAATAAGAAATTTTTAACACTTAGAAAAATTTCTAAGTTTAGAAATTTTAACTTTTCAAAATGAAATCATGAATTTTTGATTTCTTGATGAATAAGTTTCATATTTTGGCATGCTTTGATGAATTGTGATCTTTGACATTTGATTTTGACCAAAAAGTCAAAGTTTGACTTTTTAGTATACAGTTGACTTTTGATCAGTTGACTGAAAATTCATCTGTCAATCCATTGGTTTTGAGCAATGTTTTGAGCCATGTCATTAGGTCAAAATGATGCAATTGGACTCTTGAGATCGTGCCTTAAACCAATTGATCATTTGCTAGGTCAAAAATCAGAAATTGCCCTTTCCCAGTCAAAACCCTAATTTTGACCATTTTGCCCTTTTGAAGATTTGATCAAATTTCTTGAGGAATTGTGGTCCAAACTTGATCAAATGATACATATGAGTTTAAAATGTTGATGTGGATAAAAAATTATGAAGTTTTTGACTTTTTCCCCAATACAGCTTATTTTTAGGTCAACTACTCAATTGACTGAGCAAAAGTGTGATCCAAAGCTTGAAACTTGACATGAGTAATCTTGATGGTCCATAATGATCCATGAAAGTCACATGGGGCATTGGAAGTTTAAATATCCTTGTGCAATCTCAAACCCTAATTTTGGTCATCAGTGCTTAAGGAGATGTCTTGAGCTGATCAACCCTAGTATAGTCTTGAGCCAAAGGAGATCTTGTGAGCAAATTCTTGATAAATGAGAGGGAAAATTTTGAGGTACAACATGCACAAACACTTAAAAATCAATAACAGATGAATTCAGTTATACATATCCAAAATAATGTAAGTGAATTCGAACATTTTTATAGTTAAAAAACAAGATTAATGCAAACAACAAGAGATGAAATGAAAGAACTTTATCTCAAATTACAACAGGATATTTTGCTCCCTTTGATGTGATAAAATATAAAAGATTTGGTTTAGAATTGAAAAGATGGTTGAAAATAATTTTTTTTAAAGGTTATTGGTTATGGAAGGAGTTTGAAGAGTGAGACAGGTGATCATGCAATGTGATCATATATTCAATTTCCCATTGAAGATTTTCGGATATATATCTTCAAAAATATCATTGAGTGGTTAAAAAATTTTCTTCTAAATAAAAAAGTGACTTCGAAGATGTATCTACGAATTTATCTTAGATTTATTTAAAAATACATCTTCAAACTAAATTTTAAACAAAAAAATATTATTTAATATATTTAAAAATATATACTAATATTTTAAAATTCTTAAAGGTGCGCCACAATACATTAGAGTTTAATGAAAAATTGCTTTTGATAAAAACATGAGTTATGGGAGAGGCCGGATTTGAATCAAAAAAGTTGGAACTTGGTCCAAGAGAGTAGTTGAGGAAAAGAATGGGTCGGTGACATAGGCGTGTGGGCAAAACAAGAACGAACCAACCAACTCGATGTTGGCTTGTTTCTTTCTCATAAAATAAAACAAAATACACCAGTTCCACTTTTTCGTCGGTCAAAATACACTGCACCCATTCATAAATTCATAAATTCATAAATTATTATCATTCGCTGCACCATTATGTTATAATCTATTCCATCCCAATTGCCCCCAATCACACTCATTCCTTTCTTCACCCCCTCGCAATCTCAATGACGGCCATCGGCGGCTCATCCTCCTCCGCCGCCACCCTTTCCTCCTCCGTCAAATTCCCCCCTTCTCAATTTCCCAAATCATCCACATTTTCTCCCCATCCAACCCCTCTCAATCCCCCCAAATGCACCCTTCGTTCCGAAAACCCCCTCCCTCCAAACGCCGTCGTTTCAAAACCTTCTCCTCTCGAGATACTCAAAACTTCTTCAGTTGACAGTAAGAAACCTTCCCTCTTTCAATTCAACCCAGTTCAAAAGCATGCTTTATATTACAAAATGTTGAGCTGAATAATTTTTGTTTGTTTGCGTGTTTTGTTGTTAGGATACACGAAGGAGAAGACTAGTATCATTGTGATCGGACTCAACGTTCATACAGCTCCTGTTGAAATGCGTGAAAAGCTTGCTATTCCAGAAGCACAGTGGCCGCAAGTTATTCAGGAGCTTTGTGCTCTTAATCACATAGAAGAAGCCGCTGTTCTCAGCACATGTAATCGAATCGAGATTTACCTTGTTGCTCTCTCTCAACACCGTGCTGTTCGAGAAGTCACGGATTGGATCTCCAAGGTATTAACATATCTTGATCCTGCTTCATTCTGTTATGTAGTATTACTTTATATTCTTTTAATGTAAATGATTCATATTCTTGTCATGAATTTGCAGTTAAGTGGGGTTTCAATACCTGAGATTTGTAAGCACCAGATCTTGTTGTATAATAAGGATGCAACACAGCATCTTTTTGAAGTTGCTGCTGGTCTGGATTCACTTGTTCTTGGGGAGGGTCAGATTCTTTCTCAGGTTAAACAAGTTGTGAAAAGTGGACAAGGAGTGCCGGGTTTTGATAGGAAAATCAGTGGTTTGTTCAAACAGGCTATCTCGGTTGGGAAACGGGTTCGAACTGAGAAGAATATTTCATCTGGGTCGGTTTCTGTTAGTTCGGCTGCTGTCGAGTTGGCGCTTATGAAGAGATCTGTGGCTTCCTTTGATGATGCGAGAGTTTTGGTGATTGGGGCAGGTAAGATGGGGAAGCTGGTGATCAAACATTTGGCTGCTAAAGGGTGTCGAAAAATGGTTGTTGTTAATAGATCTGAAGAGAGAGTCAACGCCATTAGGGAAGAGTTGAAGGATGTTGACTTAGTATATAGACCTCTTTCTGAAATGCTGGAATGTGCTACTGAGGCTGATTTGATCTTCACATGTACTGCTTCTGAGTCACCATTGTTCTCAAAAGAGAACGTGGAGATGCTTTCTTCGGTTGGCAAAGGTGTGGGAAACCGACTTTACATTGATATATCTATTCCAAGGAACGTGGATCCGGGTGTATCAGAACTAGAGAATGCAGTAGTGTACAATGTGGATGATCTCCGGGAAGTTGTTGATGCTAATATGGAGGATAGACACCAAAAAGCCATGGAAGCTCGAGGAATTATTCAGGAGGAATTGAATAAATTTGAAGCGTGGATAGACTCTCTTGAGACTGTTCCTACTATTAAGAAGTTTAGAGCTTATGTTGAAAGGATTAGAGCTTCTGAGCTGGAAAAATGTTTGTCTAAGATGCGTGGTAACGTTTCCAAGGAACAGAAAGAAGCAATGTATGCCCTTAGTATGGGTATTGTGAACAAGCTACTTCATGGTCCTATGCAGCATCTGAGGTGCGATGGGAATGATAATAAAAGTCTTAGTGAAGTTCTTGAAAACATGCGTGCTCTTAACCGAATGTATGATCTTGAGACAGAAATATCCTTAATGGAAGAAAAAATTAGAGTCAAGTTGGAACGGGCTAAGAAGTAAAGTCTTCTTGAAGTGTTTTTGATACCAATCCCATGGTGGCTGCAAACCTCACCATCTTGTACATTACAATAGTATCTTTCAGGCCCTTAGGAGACTCATTCTTTTTAATTATTACAGTAGTATTTTTTACATTATACCAAGAGGAATAGACATTGATGTCCTATACCGAAAATTGCGGCAAGAGATGGTTCTTGTATTTTTTATTGTTAATATTGCAATTTGAGAGTTCTGATTTTTAATATTAGGGTGTGTTTGGATTAACGGTGAATTTAATTGATTCTAGCGGAGTTGAGTTTGGTTGAATTGATTTTATCAAAATTGAGTTTGGCAAAATTGATTTATGTTTGGATACATTTATATTTATGTAAAAGTGAATTGAATAATAAATTTTAGTGTAAAAATTATCCAGAATCAATTCTAGAGGCAGAAACTACCAATTCTAGTTTTAAGTAGAATCAATTATGGAGACAAGTAGAATCAATTTTGAAGACAAAATCAATTCTACTTTTGCCTACCCAAATATATCAAAATTACCTAGAATCAATTTTACACCTCTAAAATTGCTTTTGACCCTTCCAAAAGCTAAACCAAACCATGCATGAGATGTCGTTTTCAAATGTATCTGTATATGGTTTTTGTCGCATTCTCTGTCAAAATCGTTTGGCCATGATTTTCCTTACAAATTTGGATGATAAGACACTTTTGTGAAAAGTGCAAGAGTTGAAGTTACTTTGCAAAAATAAAGTAGAAGGCTACAAAATTATTTTAATAAATTACAAAGCTTGAATAATTTAATTTAAGTGTTTGTTTATTTGATAAATATTGAGTGTCATACAAGAGATATAAAGGGTTAACAAACTCATTGCTTATTAAAATTACCTTCACAAGCTTTCTTAGTATAATGTAATGCAGTGTCTAAATATCAAAATTTTGAACAAAAGATTCCCAATATAATAGTAACAATAGTTCAATGAAAGAATTCAATGCTAATATTTGACAATGCCCAAAGAAGATTTCAACTGAAAAAGTCAAATTGGTAGGTGGCTTCTACCATCAAAAGTCAAAGAGCAAAGTTTTTCTTCCATCCAACACCAGCCTTTGACATTTCATGCACAGCTCATGATTCTCATATATTGGTCCCACCACTTGGCAGCATGCCCCTCAACCTCTCTAGTGGAAATTTTCAATGTATGGCATGATATGCAAGACTAATTCGATAGCTTCTCCAATTTTTTTACAACCTACCAGTTCTTCCATGACCATCAAGGATCAGTTGAGATAAAATATCAACCCATGTGTCAGGAAGACCTGGCAGACACCAATGCAAGCAATCCTGACCCCAAATTGCAACTGCATCTTTCTTTCCTAGCCATATTGCTGGATGAGCATCAGCTCTAAACTCACTTAAATGTGTAAAGTCAACTAATTGGATGTTTGTGCCTTGTAATACCTTTTGAATCACAGAATTCATCTGTCTTGCTTCCTTGTTAACTCCGTTATTCCTGGGTTCAAACCATAAGTCAAGCTGTTCAGGTATTAGTATTTTGTTCTTTAGGCCAGCACTTGAAAATGCATGGGGCAGAAAATGAAAAATATTCAAGCCTTTAAAAGAATATCAAATGCAAACTAGAGATTGATGTTTTGGCGAGGTATTATGTGGGTACATGCAGATGGCAGTGAAATTAGGGGAAATAGGTAAGTTTTATAAATACATACCTCATTCTCTTCAAGTGGCTTGTTGAACAAGCAACTACCATTTTGATTCCAATCTCCACCGTAAAAGTGCCTTGGGGATACTAAACGCCAGAACTTAAGTGTGTTTCTAGGAAATTCTTTTTCAATGTATGCAATCATGTTACCAATAACAATTTCAAGTCCATCCAACATCTCAGGTGGAGGAACTATTGGTTTTCCTGCTTTATAGAAGACAAGAGGCTTCTCCTTTGGGAATTTGTCAAAATTCCACCTATTAAAGGCAAAATAAAAAATGATTTAGTTCGGATTAAATACTTGCTTATAGGATTATTTTAACTAAAACAAGTATTTAGTTTCTAATTCATAACAAATGTATTATAAATGTACAGTAGTTAATGTAGAAGATAAATGAGAAAGTTTCTGAAAAATTTAGTTAAGGTTCTCGTGGTTATTACTTCAACATTACAACAACAACAACAACCACCAAGCCTTTTTCCACTAAGTAGGGTCGGCTACATGGATCAACTTTTGCCATAATGTTCTATCCAAAAACATACTTCTATCCAAATTGTTAATCTCTATATCTTTCTTAATAACTTCTCTTAAAGTTTTTCTAGGTTTTCTTCTACCTCTAGTTGTTTGACTTCTCTCCATCTGATCTACTATCCTTATCAAAGAATCTACATGTTTTTTTCCCTACATCTGATCTACTTCAACATTATCCGAACCAAGTCTATATCCATATACTCAACCATCTGGTTCTAGTCAGTTTCATTAACACCAACAAACTACAGATTGCAACAAACCTATGGCCTGAAAATAGGTAGCAATCTACATATAATAAACTAATTTTTTGCTATGATTTTCATATTGAAGTCCAAAGATCAATAGTTAGCCCAAGAGCATAAGGACTCATTTCAAAGTCCCAACCACTTTCAAAATGAACACATCCTTTGTGGTTCCACTGGCTCCCAGGAGTTCAGTCTACTGTGCGCATAAAGTCCAATAGTGAGCCTGGGAGCATAAAGACTCATTCCAAAATTGTAACCACGACTTTTCTTTGATTAAGTTGACTTCTGATGCATCATTTTCAAAACGAACACACCCTCGTGGTTCCACTGGCTCCCAGAGTATTAGGGTAAAAAGTAATAGAGAATACAGATAAAAGTTGCTGTAATTGTATTCTTTAGCATTACCTGGTATTTATAGGAATATGACAACCTAATTATTTCCTTAAATTAAGGAGAATAGTAACAATAGAAAATAAACAAATATTCTGAAATAACTAGCAAATATGAAAATTTTCCCAACACTCTGCGTCAAGTTGGTGCATAGATATCTGTCATGCCCAACTTGCTCACTAGATGTTCAAAGGTGAGTCTAGCCAAACTCTTGGTTAGAATATCCGCAGTCTGTTGACTAGAAGTTACAAAAGGCATATAGTCTCATCATCTAACTTCTCCTTTATGAAGTGTCGCTCGATCTGAATGTGCTTCGTTCTATCATGTTGAATTGGATCATGGGCTATGCTAATTTCAAGGGTAGTTCAATTTTTGTTGAGTTCTTCATAAACTCTTTGAATCGGTAGTCTCTAACAAACTCGTCTTCTGCACTACTTGCTACGACTCCCTGTTTCTTGCTCCTCTATTTCACAAGATTACCCCATACATTGATAGAATACCCAGAGATAGACCTTCTAGTCCAATTAGCATCAGTGAATATAGAGACGCCCCTTTCGCTAGTCTTAAAAAACAATCCCTTTGCCTTCAGACATCTCAAGATCATGTAAACTATCTCAAGATGTTTCTCAAAAGGAAAATGCATAGACTTACTTACTACACTTACTGAGAAGACAATGTCAGGTCATCATGTATGTGATAGACAAATTAGTTTACCAACCAATCTTTGATATCTTCCGGTATTGACAGGAATAAAAATATATATACCGTTGTATGTAGTCGGATGCTCCATTCTTGAAATGTGTACCACCACCAGGAAACCACCAAAGCTGATCCTTTGGATGGACCCAATTTTGGCCTCCTTTGACGTCGGCAAGATGTGTATGATTGACATTACTCCGCCAAACATAATCCCTGCTAAGAGGCCATTGGATAGGAATTTTATAATTGCTGGGTGGTGGAAGCAAGCAAAATAACCGGTTTTCAAGTGGAGGACAGTGTCTCTCCAGCTCTTGTTTTCTAGAAACATCAAGATTAGGCATGAATGTCGCGACATAGGAAACATCGTGGCAGGGAATATACTCATTAAACCTCAAGGGGCATACAGTAATCTCTTTTGAGTTGCTTTTAGCGTTTTAACTATAACTACTTATTCATTCAACTTTTTAGCAATGCATACCGGCAGTTACAATACAAGTCAAACTATTTTTCAAGTGGCACTGCATGATTTAGAAGTTCAAGATGGAGGAAAGTTCGAAAGAATTACCAGTGACCAGTATTAAACAGCAGGACATCATAGAAACCTGCAATCTTAGCCCATTCATCTGCAGGAACATCAACGTCAACTCGATGAATACCTTCTGACCCATCTTGTATCCCAGCTTCAGATTGCTTTGGCTGCCACCTTTGTTTAATCAGTAATTAGCACATAAGGTTTCCATTTAAAAAATCATACAAGAAAGAAACAAAGTAAAACCAGAACCCTAAAAGTCAAAATCTGTTTAAGTAGGTTCTTCCAAACAGACCCTAAATTTCACCAACCCAATACAAGCTATTTGCAAAATTCTGAACTTCGAAACCGGAAACAAGAAAAAGAATTGGTAAAGGAGAAGGTTACTGATATTTGGAGAGCAAAACCGCACGATGATAAGCAACGGTGACATTGAATTTGGGAAAATAAGCACCTCTCCAAGCACCCTTCTTTTTCCACTTCCGTGCACCCTCATCAGCAACCCTAAGAATACACAAAAACGAAACCAAGAAATTCTCATTGAGCGAATCCCCAACAAACCCAACGTTGTTATTTCTCATCACACCAAGAAACCGAAACGGGTCGATCCGAGGCAAATGGCAGCCACGTGGAACCCATTTCCACGAATTGATCAAGCTCAGATTTCCCCTCTGGTTTCTGATGCAATTCCATGCGTTTCGATGGAAGGGACACGTGTCGTCGTAGAGTGGGGTGTGATTTGGATCGAAAACCCATTTGCCTTTAAAGAAGTTGCAGTTGGAGATTGAAAGTAATTGTGAGGTTGAAGAAGAAGGTGTGTGGAGAGAGATGAGAGAAGAGAAGAGATAGATGGATGCAAGTGTTAGTAAGATGAGGTAAGGGAATAGCTTTGGGGACATTGTAATGGTGTGTGACTCATGGAATCCATATCTTCACTCAAATAACATTTCTAATTTTTTCTGCTTTTAAACTTTGTTTTAAATTTTTATTTTTATTATTTTGTTCTCTAAAACATCTCAACCAACTACCCCTATCATTTAAAACTTTTCTCACTCACATATTATTTATTTCATTAATACTAAAAGAATCAATTAAATATTCATCCCATTTTCTTCTCTCTTTTTTATATTATGCATTGTAGGCCGACAATTTTGTATACTTCTTTCTCTTTTAATTTATATATTTCTCTCTCCTTTTCTATTTATTCTACTCTTACTTTATCTTTTTCCTCCTATCAATAAAGTTTAGAAAATAATTAATGAATAATTATGAAAAATATATGAAATTGATTAACGGAAAATAAATTTGATTAAAAATGTGAGAAAACTAAGTCAATACACTTGAAAATGTGGTTAATAAATAATCATGAATGAATATATGTAATCACTTAATAGCGACTAAAGTTAGTTAATGGTATATATTGAATTGGTCAATACATTTCAAAATATGATTAATAAACAATCATAAATAAACATAGGTAACTATAGTTGGTTAAAGGTGTGTACCAAATTGGTTAATAAATAATGTGTCAAAAAAATATTGGTTAATAGTGTAAAAAAAATGATTAATAATGTGTATACGTTGGTTAATAAATACTTGTATATAATTATAATTTTATAACATTCTTTATTCATTTTTTTATTATAAACCTAGCAAATATGATTTTTTTTCTTCTTTTTTGATATAATAATTATTTTCTGTATTTGATTAGGTTATGATTAGAAATGCAATAGAAGAATATAGTGCCGCCATGGATCAGAGAATGGCATAAAGAAGAAGATGAAGTAACATAGAACAAATAGAGAGTGAGAGAAAAATATATAAACCAAAAAGAGAAAGAAGGTTCGGCCCACACTACATAATAAAAAGAGAGAGAGAAAAGTGATTTCAATATTTAATTAATTTTTATTATTAATGATGATAAATGCATATGATGTAGCGTATATAATTGGTGTCAAGATATCATATTTTGTTTCTTTATCCACCTTTGTATCTTACAATACAAGTCTTTCGCGAAATTCTCATAATACTCACTGAATTTATATATATATATATATATATATATATATATATATATATATATATATATATATATATATATATATATATATATATATATATATATATATATATATATATATATATATATATATATATATATATATATATATATATATATATTTAAATGAATTAAATTTTATTTTTTATTAAATAAATTCGGATATATATATTCGAAGACACCACACTTAATTTCAGATATACATATCTGAAATATACAGAAGTAGTGAATAAATTAAAACCTTTGAAAGTAAACCAATTTAACATAGATTTAACAAAAATAATCGAAATTACATAGATAGTTAAACATAAATTTAACATTACATATTGTTATAAACGAGAAGTTGAGGACGTCGCAACGTTTTAATAACATTTTCCTCCTCTAATATTGCAAGAGAGAATTCAATGTGGTAATGAGGCTGTCGAAAGACGTATCTTTGGAGACCTGAAACTGCAGTGGCGGCATGTTACCATTGAAGTAGACAAAAGCAATCTGAGGATATGTTTGGCTCATCTCTGTTTGTGTTTTGTGATTTTAAAGAAATAGTTTGGAGAACCTATTTATAGAAGAGATTGAGTAATTTAGACCAAGGAATTCTTATCCTACCAGTGCATATTTCAGATACAAACATCTGAATTAACTTGCTTTTAACGTAATTAGGAGGTTTCGAATAGACATATCTGAAATAACCCTTATTTTGTTTTTTTTTAAATTGAGGGTTTGTTCGGATATGAATATCTGAAATAACCCATGTTCTGTTTTTTTTAAAGACGTCAGATTGTTTCGGATATGTATATTCGAAATATGCAGAACCAATGGTAGAATCAATTTTCTCTGAACTAGTATGATAGAAACGTGGAAAAAATTTAATCGGTAAAAGTAAACAATGATAAAATGTTGAATAGACATATTATATATGTATTGAATCATATAGATTTTATATCGTGCATTATAATACATTCAAAAAATTGTTCGATTACATTCTAAAATGCATCAAACAAATTGTCACCGTTTTATTCTAAAATCGGTTCTTTCTTTGACTTCTTCCTATTTGATTCTCTCTCAAGCTATATCAATTTGGTGAACTATGCCACCATTTCCAAAAAGTGATCAGACTAATTTTCCGCCTCTTTTGTGGAATGTGTCGTCCACTTCAATGATTTAGGCGGAATAGGACACTTTAGTTTCAAATAAACCTGAACAAAATGACGTGATCTAAGGTACCCAATACACATGATGCGATTGGATTGGTCTTTAGGCGGCAGACTCCGAAGTGGAAAAAATGCTTTCGAAAAACCATATCTCGTCAAATCGATACGCACCTTATTATATGCATTTGTTATAAGATGACCCATTTCTAGGAACCTCATCCACTTTCAACTGGTGTGCAAATGCTAACACTTGGAACAAGAGCATTGTGAACTTTGTTTAATGCTTCCTTAGTCACATATAGTCGTTTGTAAATTTCTCTATGCGTCTTCAACTCTGAAATAAGTGTTTGGCGCACAAGTGTGTGATTCTCCTCTCTTTTATCAAATAAATCAAAGACGGGACGAAACCCTCAATTACCACCACTCCCCACATATACGATTCTTTCAACGTGTTTGTGCATAAAAAGCAGCATCTCATTAATGTAGATAATCGAAGGTGGAAGTGGTGGTTTAGAAATCATAGGTATGTGTGGGTTTTTTAATGGGGGTGTACGAGGTGGTTTGGAGATGTGAGCCCTCTTGAAAACAATTGTTTGCGATTTAGGAGAATCTGGGAATATGGAATCAACAACTTCATGGTAAGATGAAGTCCGCTTTGTTGAATTTTGTTCTTGTGTAATTTTCACCTTTTTGGGGCACTTTTGATTTTTACCGGTTTCGAAGGAGGTTTCAAATCAGTGTTTTCTGGATATGAGATTTTCCTCAGTTGTTCTTTTATGTGTAATCACATAGTATCATCCGCTTTAGAAAATCTATCCATGATCACTTTCAACTCGGTTGCGATAGTTATACTCGATGTATTGTCCTTCGTCGCACAATAGTCATCAAGCCGGAGTCTTTCCCAATGATTGTAGGCCTCGTCCATATGTATGGGGGGATTTAGCTTCATCTTTTTAGAAATCAGAAAAGCACATGGAAGCCCATAATTTTTTCTAATTGTACATCCACACTTCGAACTATCCGGCCCCGTCGTCTCCGCTCGTTTTGCTTCATGAAAAATGAAATTCAATCCCACACGGGATATGTTGAGAACCAACGGTGTATAAAGAGGGTCGTCTTTGAATCCGTGTTCTACCATGATTGTGCCCTGACTAAAAGTTGTTTGAATTTCATTATGTTGGTTTTGGAGTATTTGGTTCAACGTGTCCCATTCCCTACAAAGATATCCCTAGCTACCACCCAACCATATCTTCAATGTCAAATATGCATATTCGACTCTATTAGTTATTGTGTTTCCCAAATGTCTAACCCAGTCTGTCCAAGCACACACAACTTTATCTTTCACCTGATCAAGAATAGTAGATTCAACGTATTTCAAAAAACTGATTATTTCACACATAAGCTTCTGAAATTTACCACATTCTCAACATATAACTCTTATGTATAAGAATTTAATATATTAGTCCATGCATACATTATCTTCTCCACTACCACACTAGATTTGACCATGTCTCCATCTTCACCGTTGATTTCTTTGTTGCCAACTGCGGGTTTTAGCTTAGCTCTCACATTTTTTGTCATGTGATATCAAAAAAGTAATGAGTATAAAGTAGGAAACACACTTCCAACCGCATTCATAAGGGTGTTATCTCAGTCGGTTACAATGACACTAGGCATTTTTTGTGGATCCTTCAATAAAGACTTTCATATATCCAACGCCCGTGTTACGCTGTCTTCTTTCTCAAATTCCAGAAATGCAAATCCAACCGAAAATGTCTTCTCCGTAAAAGTGGCACCAACAATTTCTATAAGCATAAGCCTATATTTGTTGGTCTTGTATGTTGAATCAATTATAAGGACAGTTGGAAATGTGTTGAACAACTTGATACTTTCTAGATGAGTCCAAAATATGTCACGAACACTGACTTTGTCCTCACACACTATGTACCTTGAAACATAATGGTTATCATCCAAAAGTTTCAAAAGTTGTTGCATTTAGGATCTCAAATATTTATTCACCATGTCTTATGATAACATTCATAGTATATCTTCTTGATATTTGAAACACTTTGTGGCCTTTTCCGTTTCAAATCGGCAAATATGTTTCTCGGTGCAACTTTGATGGATGGCATTTTTGAAATAATTTCCTTCTCCCCCAAATTAAGCCGACATACAATTGGATGGACTTGTAGCTTCATGTCCAACGTATGATTATGTAAACCACATACGACATTAAACTGCCTTAAATCATCCACCCTACAGTACCCATACAATTTAAACAGACACTCACATTTTCTCGATCCAATGTCTTCATGTTTTAAGTTTTGAATTTTTGGAACATATTTTCCGCTTCTTTCACATGTCATCGTTACAATTTCTTGCCTTCTACTAGTGCCATTGTCAGACCTTCCAATCATAACATCAAACCCGAGTTTGCTGCTTCAATTCAGATCCATTATAACATATGTTGACGAGCACTAAAAACTTGATCATTTGTAAATTATTGTCGAACATCTACCGCGACAATAATCTTTTTAACACCGTCTTCAACTCTTACGACTTAGCATCCTCATTCACCTTGTCTGTATCCTTTACAACAACTTTGGGAAAGATGTTGGGGTGCACCATATCTAAAACGGTTGAAAATATAAAATTTATTCAACACATAATTTTGTTTCTCTATAACAGA